TTCCAGCAGTGGTATGGCTGGATCATATGGGATTTCTATACTCAGTTTTTGAGAAAATGCCAAACTGTCTTCTAGAGTGGGTGTACCATTTTATAGTCCCACCAACAGTGCATGAGAATTCTAATCTCTTCACATCTTCTCCAACATTTATTGCTTGCAGCCCTGCTTTTGCTACTGCTGCTGGGATAAGATTGTATCTCATTGTTGTTTTGATTTTAATCTCCCTGATTGCTAGTGATGTGTATGTGTGTGTGTGTGAGAGAGAGAGAGAAATTTGTATTTAGAATTAGCCAGCTGGACTTAGTTTAATTGATCCCAATTTTGTTGGCAACATACAAAGCATCACAGTCAGGAGCAAGTCGAACATAGGCCTTCTTCTGTCCATCAGGCCTCATCAAAGTGTTGACCTTGGCCACATCAATGTCATAGAGCTTCTGTACAGCTTATTTAATTTGGTGCTTGTTGGCCTTGACATCCACAATGAGCACAAGTGTCTTGTTATCTTCTATCTTCTTCATGGCTGACTCAGTGGTCAGGGGAAACTTGATGATGGCATAGTGGTCAAGCTTGTTTCTCCTGGGGGTATTTGGACTGCCTTTGGAGTCTCAGCGTCTTAGGCTGCCAGGAAGTGGGTGACGTGTGGATCTTTTTTTTTTTCTGTGGATGTCCTTCAGGACTGCCTTGGCCTTTAATACCTTTGCATTGGCTTCAGTTTAGGGAGGGGCAGGGGCTTTCTTCTTCACTTTCAGTGCCAGCTTCGTAGAAAGGGATTGCTGGTGATTCTGAGCATTTCTTTATGTATTTGTTGTCTTTTTTTGTCCTATATTGGTGAATTGTCATTGTTTAGTACCATGGAGTTGTAATTAGCTGACCCTCCGTGGGTTTTCAGAGACTGTAAATTGCATAGGAGGAAATTGCCCATCTTTCTCACATGGAGAAGCTGGTGGATTTGAACAGCTCTCCTTTTGGTTGGCAGTGTAACTCCTTACTACTAAGCATCCAGAGCTCTCTGTGTTGCTGAGTAGCAAATGGGAACTTAAATGCTTGTGAACATCTATCTGAAGTGCAACCACTGGTTTATTCTTTTTTTTCCCATTAGTTAATTAATTATTCATTATCATTCAAGAATTAATTGTATCACCTGGCTGGTAATTCTTGGCTAAAGAAGAGTGAAGGAAATCAAGGCAAATGGGAACAATTAGTCTGTAGGATTAATAAATCTCAGGACCTCAACTTCCATTTGAACAACCTTATCACCAGAAAAGCCATACAGTGCCTGGACCTACTAGTAATGATTCTGAAATAGGTCACAGTAAAGGATCTCCTGAATACAGTGGGAAAATAGAACTCAAAATTACAATAAAAACCAGGCTTACTGATCTAATGGAAAATCCCAGAGACAATGATGCTTCCATAGAACATTTCCTGTGGTACAATTTTCAAACAATAGACACATTTATAAACTGAACAGTAGTACCAGGGAGACTCTCAGACATTAGGACAATCAATGATACAGGATAATAGGGCAACACTTGCCCAGGCTTAGAGTTCAGAAAATAGGAGTTTGAGGATAGGAAAAGTAAGTGAAATTGAGAGCAACAGAAGGGTAAGGTAATACAAACAGTGAAAAATTCAGTGTGAGTATTGTAATCAGTGTTCTAAAACCAACTGTGTATTAATGATTGAGTGGAATACTAACTCACTCTGTAAACTTACACTGAAATCACAATAAAAAATTTAAAAAGAAAGAAAATCTATAGTACTGGACTGGAAAAGCACATCAAAAGAGAACTGCCAGATGTGCAGGCTGGGGTTAGAAGAAGCCGTGGTACTAGGGATACTATAGCTAATGTTAGATGGATCTTGGCTGAAAGCAAAGAGTACCAGAGAAATGTCTATCCGTGTTTCATTGAACATACAAAGACATTTGACTGTGTGGATCACAACAAACTGTGGCTAATTCTGAGAAGAATGGGAATCCCAGAACACTTGATTGTGCTTATGCAAAACTTATGCTTGCACCAGGAGGTAGTCATCAGAACAGATCACGGAAACACTGCATGGTTCAAAACTGGGAAGGGGTATGCCAGGGATGCATCCTATCTGCATACCTTCTCAATCCATATGCAGAACAGATCATCTGGAAGGCTGGATTCTATGAGGAAGAATGTAGCACCAGGATTGGAGGAAGATTCATCAACAACAGTGTGTTATGCAGATAATACAATGCTGCTTGCTGAGACTGAGGAGGACCTGAAGTACTTGCTGCAGAAGATCAAGGACTGTAGCCTTAAATGTGTATTGAAGCTCAACATGAAGAAAAAAAAAAAAGATTCTCACTACTGGGCCAATTGACAGCATCATAATAGATGGTGAAAAGATTGAGATAATGAAACAAATTTAGTTTGTTTGGCTCCACAATCAGCACTTTTGGTACCAGCAGTCAGAAATTAAAAAGATGAATTACATTGGGAAAGTATGCTATCAAGGACCACTCCAGAGTGCTGAAGATCAATGATGTCAATCCGGAGAAAAAAGTGTGCCTGATCCAGGCCATAGTCTTCACAATTACTAGCTACGCACCAGAAAGCTGGACAACGACTAGGGATTATAGAAGGAGAATTGATATTTTTGAGCTGTAGTACTGGAAAGAGTATTGAATATACCATGGACTGTTAGGAGAACAAACAAGTCATCCTAAGGAGGGTGAAACCAGGCTGAGCCTTGGAGACAAGGATTCTGAAGCTTCATCTGACATGCTTTGTGCATGTTGCAAGGAGGGATCAGTCCTTGGAGAGGGACATCAGGCTTTGAAGTGGACGGACAGCACGAGAGAAGAAAATCCTCAATGAGGTGGATTAATTCAGTGACAGGGTAAATGAGGGTCAATGTGTCAGAAACAATAATATTGGCACAGGATATTGTAGGGCTTAGAGCTATTGTACACAGGGTTACTGAGTCACAAGCGACTCGACAGCACATAGCAACAGCAATAATCCCAACAGAAGTTGTTCATTAATTCTAAATTCATTCATTCAGCAAAGCATTCTGGGTTCAGAGAGACATTCAGAGAAGAGGGCAGAATCCCTACTTTTATGAAATTTAGAGCGTGCCAAAAACTATATTAAACTGTAAGGTCCAAGAATTCAGGGTTAGGGTATGTTTTGTTCTCCACAGATAGTTCATGTTTCTAAGAGATGTCAGACACATTCAATATAGAGAGAAGGAAAGCTTTAGGATTGGGTAGGACAAATAAGAGAACTGCAAGCCTGGATTTAATAAGTATTTATAACTATTATAAGAACTTACTATGATACAAGTGAGTTATTTTTTTATCACTTAGAGTTATCCTATAATGTAGTTGCTATTCCTGTTTTATACGTATAACAACAACAACAACAAAAAACCCAAAACCTCAAAGAAAAGAAATTCAAATTCTAAAATCTAAAGGAGGTAGAATTGCAACTTCAGATTTGTAAGCACTGAATTCTTGCCACTTAATAATAAATATTATGACCTCAGGGTATATGCGAGATCTTAGAATAACATAATCCAAGTAATTGTTTTACAAATGGGAATATAAAAGCCTAGAGATTTTGAACAATTATCCAAGGTAGCAAACTTCATCAAAGATAAAGCCAATGCTATAAATCAGGACTTATATTAAATCCCATCTTTTTTTTTTCTTCTACAGGACATTGCCTGTTCAAGTGTGAAGTGTCAGGGTCTGTGGTTTTTGTTTTCTTATTTCATTCTACCAGCCACAATAAATTTTACAATTTTGGGTTACAATTAACTTTTTTAGTTTCTTTATAAATTGAACTAAACAAATATTTAGACTTAAAATTTTATTTCATGTATGTCTTCCTCAGGAAGTCTTCCCTCTGATATTCAGAAAAGAAAATCAAGGAGAGTAGGTTTGAAGACTATTCAGAGCACAAGAACTTTCATAAATATTAGGACTGCAGAGCCCTTTCCTTCCTCTCCCAGAACAGCTACTGAAAAGATCCAATCACAGGAAGCAGCAGCTGTGCTTTTTCTCTGTAAAGGATGTGAAACTGCTCTACCTCCTTTCCCAGAAATAGTTATCTGAGACCCCAGCCACTTCCCTATCTTGTAAACAAACATTTGTGAGAATCCCTTTCCCCAAGTTCCTTGTAAGAGAATATAAAACCCCTCTCTAACTTTTTAGAAGTGGGAGTGGCATCCACTTCCTAAACAACATGCTTCTGGAAATTATGAACTTTGATAAATGTTGTAGAGGTGCTTCAGGCCTTTTGTTCATAGAGTTACTACGAGTCGTGCTCGGCTCAAAGGCAATCATCAATAACAACTCTAACTTTTAGTGGGCACTGGTTTCTGCTTGAGAGCCAGCCTGGCAGTTTTTCCTCAATAAACTAACTGTCTTGGCCTGAACTGAGTTCTGACCTTCCTTGACGACCTTACAATAAATAAATAGATTTTAGAGATCTTCTCTCTGTCCTCATATATTGGTTCATAGTTTGAAATGTAAACAAGTGGAGGGTGGAAAAAAAAAGCTACAGTAGTAGAGCTTTTGAATGACTGGTTTCCAATTCTTTAAGACTTGAAATCAGGACAGGAGGAGAGTATTAGAATGTTTTTATTCTAAGGAGTTTCCCCAATGCTCCCTTCATATCTCTGTTCCTCAAGCTGTAGATAAAAGGATTCAGCATGGGGGTTATTGTTGTGTACATTACTGAGAAAACTCGGTCCTTGCCGCCTGAGTAGGGTGTTGGAGGACATAAATAGACTCCAATTGCTGTCCCATAGAACAGAGAGACCACAGAGAGATGTGAAGTACAGTTGGAAAAGGCCCTTTGCTTACCCTTTGGGGAATCAATTTTCAAGATTGTCAGGACAATGCAAAAGTAAGATGTAAGGATACAGACAAAGGGTCCAATAAGCAACGTCCCTGCAACAAGAGTGAGCACCAAGTCGTTGACATAAGTACTAGAGCATGCCAGCTCCAGGAGAGGAACCAGATCACAGAAAAAGTGTGGGATAATACTGGGGCCACAGAAAGAAAGCCTGGTCACTAGCAAGGTATGGAGAAGGGCATGGAATGTGGTGACTACCCAGGACCCAGCCACCAATAAAATGCAACGTTGGGAGTTCATTCTTGTGGCATAATGGAGTGGGTAGCTGATAGCCACATAACGGTCAAGTGCCATCACAGCCAGGAGAAAGTTGTCCAGATCTGCAAATAAGCCAAAGAAATAGAGTTGTGCCAGGCACTCACCATAAGAAATCAGTTTACTTCCTGAACCAATATTATCTAGCATCTTGGGAACCGTGGTAGAAATGAAACCAATGTCAGAAACAGAGAGGTTGGCCAAGAAAAAGTACATAGGTGTATGGAGGTGCACATCAAAGCCAATGGCCAGAATGATGAACAAGTTTCCCATTATTGTGACCAAATACATGGCCAGGAAGAGTCCAAACAGGAAAGGCTGCTGCTCTGGATGCTCTGAGAGGCCCAGGAGGAGAAATTCATAGACACTGGTCTGGTTTCTTTTGTCCATATTTGAAATTCTGTATGAAATAAACATTATTGTAACATAAGTCATTTAAAAAGTAAAACATCCTCTGTTGCAAGTAATCTGAACCTTGTGTTTTTAAAAAAACTCCATGGTTGTAAATCTTTTGCTTTGATTAATCTTATATTATAACTGTGCTCTTTAAGAAATACAGTTTAAAAAAAAGAAATACAGTTTGAATCAGATGAAATTGAATGCCCTTCTATGGCTCAACTTTGAACCAAACAATAGATCGTCCTATAAAGTGAGCAATAATGCCAGATAGGAACAGACTTCTTAGAAGAGTCTAAAACAAAAACAAAACAAAACAAAAAAAAGTAAAAAACTAATTTTGTTCAAGGATAAAATTCATAAGGCAGAACAGAAAAGAAGGACAAATGGAAATGGGAAACTCAGAGAGGAAGCAGGAAGAATGAAGATTATAAGGAGTGTTATCATCAATGCCATGAAGCATAATGTGTATGAATGTTGAGTGGAAAACTAATTTGCTTTGTAAAATTTCACTCAAATCACACAAAATTTCATAATTTAAAAAGTAGTGGATGTGATTTAGTAAATTAATCTAACTGACTACCTCCTTGAAACAAATATGTAGACTTTGAGACTCAATTCTGAAAAGTTGAACCCATTGTCTCTGGAGTCCATTCCAACTCCTACTGGCCCTATAGGTCAGAGTAGAATTTCTTCAGAATTTTCGAGGTTGTACCGTTCAGGGAAGCAGAACACATCCTGACAGTGTAAACAGCTGCCTTTTCGGTTAACAGTCAAGCACTTGACCACTGCAGGGCTCCTTCTGACAAGTTGTTGTCCGACAGACAACTCTGACAAAAATGTTGAAAAACAAATTCTTTTGAGCTGATGTGAAGTAAAGAAACGAAGTTTAGAAAGCACATTTTTTTTTCATTCTCATCTCCTCCATTTGAGCCCTGTTTTATGTTCCCAGGTTTCACAAAGAAAAAGCTATACTAAAGTGCATAAAGTACTACCTCTATCTCTTAAAATCAGTAAGGATTACTTATGCTTTTTTCTGACAATATTAGGTTTCTCATTTATGAGTATTTCTCCACCTAGATAGTTTCTAATTATCTGGTATCTTGAATTAAAAAAATCCAAGGTTGTGATTGTTTGCTTTAGCGCTGACCACTTTGCTCTGAAATGAATTTGTTTCATTAATAAATTGCAAACCTAAATAGAAAGCGGAAGCTCTGGTGGCCTACTGAAAAGAAACTGTGCTGCAATCCTGAAGGCAGGCAGTTCAAGGCCACCAGCTGCGCCTCGGGAGAAGGACAGGCAGTCTCCTTCCATTAGATTAATTGTCTCTGAAAACCCTCTGGAAGGTCAGCTATGGGTCAGTTCTGACTCGACAGTATACAGCAACAACAGATAACAAATAGAAAGCCTCATATGTCTAGTTTGTCCCCTAAAATCACACCCCAATTTGTCTTTCCTCCTTACTTCACTGCCGTTGAGATGGGAGCAACTCATAACTGACCCTCTGTTTGGTTTCTGAGGTTTTAACTTGTACAAGAGAATCTTCTGTGGAGCCGCTGGTGGATTAGAACAACCAGAGAGGCATGACCTATGAGTTAACACAAAACTCTCTACTACAACTACACCACTAAAGTATCTTTGTTGTGTGCCATCAAGTCGGAACTGACTCTTGGCTGACTCTCAGCAAGTTGTCAGAGCAGTTTAATCAATTGGGAGGGGATTGTCCGTTCTTCTCGTGGCAGAGCCAGCAGAGGAAACCACCTGCTGAGTTTGTCTTTAACACTGTCAAAGAAGAGGTGGTGCAAATGGTTAAACACTTGGCTACTAATGAAAAGACTAATGGTTCGGGGTGGAGAGAGAAGTGCAGCAATGAATGAATGGAAATCCAAAATCTCTGTAAATGTTCATGAAAATTATTTAAAAAAAAAAAAGACTAATGGTTCCAACCCACCCAACCTCTCTACAGGAGAAAGACCTGGCTTTCTGCTTCTACAGAGATTAAGGAAAACACTATGGAAGAGAGTTCTACTCTGTCACATGTGGTGGCTGTGGGTTGCAATTGACTTGATGGCACTTAATCATAACAGAAAACAAAGATAACCAGGATCTCATAACTAGATAGTATTGGATCTTAAGTTCATTAGCCTTATTATGATTCAATAAAGAGAGCAGATACAATATTATCTTCATTATATAGACACAGATACTGAGATCTAGGTGAATGAAGCAGCTTTCTGATGGCCACGCAAGTAGGATTTGAAGTGAAATTTGCCAGAGGAAAGAATGTAACTTTCTAATTGCCCTGCTATATGCCACCAAACCCTTTCCCTAGAGTGGTTCAACCTCTAGCATATATTTTTCTACAAAGGAACAAGACACCGTAGACAACTAAAGCCTCCATTCTGTTTGACAATTACAGTTCTCTCAGGAAATTGTTATCTGGCTTATGGATCTATCTTTTGGTAATGTGATTAGTGGAGTTGGCCACCTCAATTTATTCCAACGTCTAGACAAGATCTAATACGTATACTCTTAATAATAATGGAGGGAGCTGTAATGACCTAGAGGACAGGAGGCTAAGGAGTTGTGTAGGCAGGCAGTTTGAATCCACCAGCTGTTCTGTGAGAAAAAGATGGACAATCTCCTTCTCATGTGATTTACTGCTTCTGAAAAGGAGGATTAGCTCTGAGTCATTTTTTACTTGATTTTACATAACAACAATTATATTTTTAGCAAAATAATGTTCCATTGTATGCTTTTGTAAATTGTGAAACTCTCTTGCATATTAATTTTTAATGTATGCTATGCATATTGTATGCATCTGCTTGCTAATTTCATGGAGACATTAACTAAGAAAAATACAGCATGTCTGCCTGTAGGTCTAAGATCCAAATCTGATGTTCTGAGAACACTACTAAAAAAACCATCCCCTAATTTTCTGGTTTTGCACATTTAACCCTTAGCCAACCTGATCAGACACACTCCACATATATGTCAAGTCTCTCTGTGAGATACTGGAAACTTCAGGAACATGTGATTTCAGAGATCTAGGATGTTAAGTTCCTAGTTCAGTAAAATCATCCCCTGTATCAAATTTATCTAGTCACTTACCCTTTAGGTACAAAAAGATGTTAAACCATCTAATGAAATCTCTTTATTCTATGAATGAGCACAACAAAAATGGAATGGTCTGTGCAATCTGTCTAATACCAGCACTTTGATTCCAAAACCAAGGTTTCTGAAACAATTTCTAATGGTATCTGTTAATTGACTGTGAAGGAAGCATGACTTACAGTGTCTTGAGCTGGGCCAAGAAGAGCTCCTTACTTCTTCATGTTAAGGTGGAGGTTTGATTGTGGGCTAGATGAAAAGATAACATTTTTCTCTTAGGTTTAAAGTAGACAAGATCGTATGATGTGGAACCTTCACTTATAAGGAAAGAGAAATAGTGTTCAGTCTTCTCAGGTTCTGGGCCAACCAGACTGACTAGAAATGTAGAAGAGAGAGGTTATCTACATGCATTTTCTGGCACATTTCCCAGAGCTTGCTGCTAAGAGCAGCAGAGGCATCTGGGAACACCAGTCTCTGAAGTATTCATTGTGGGAAAAACTCTAGTTCATTGCCCAGTCCTCAAGCTCTAAATGAGCTGCTCTGTGGCAAGGTAAAGTTCACTTATCCTCTCTGGGCTTGGGCTTATCAAAAGGTGACAAAATAATGAGAAAATATTCTCTCACAATAGAAATTTTATAGGTACATTTCTTTCTCATTCTGAAGTATATAAAGTGATACCTCACTGTGATTTTAATTTTAATTTACATGATAACAAATTATATTGATAAATTTTAATGAACTTAATGTTTTTGGTCAAACATTCTTCTAAGTGATATAGCACTGGTCTGTCCATTTGCTGTACAGAGGTAACTTATGGTTGCTATGATGCTAAACACTGTGACACTGATGTGTCAAATGTGATAATGGCTACCCATGGTGGATAGTGTTTGGTGGAACTCCCAGATTAAAATAAGCTTGGAAGCAGGAGTGGCATCCACTTCCAAAACGGTGAAAGTTATAAAAGTTTTCAGGTCTTTTGTTCATAGGGTCACTATGAGTCCATCTATGACTCGATGGCACTTAACAACAACAACATTGTTTATATGGTTTTTTCTTGGTAAAGTGTTTGCCTATTTTATTGCCTTGTTTCAACTTTAATAATGTTTAAAGGAATTGATACATTCTGGCCATTGATCTATTATGAATGATATATATTGTGGATATTTTCTCCTAGTTTGTGGATTTCTTCTTTTTTCCTAATAGTTTCTTCTGAGGGATAGAAGATTTTAAATCTAATAAAGTCCAATTACCATTATTTTTTCTTCCCGTAGGTATTATTTGTGTATATTATGTAGGGAATATTATCTGTCTCAATGTTGTGGAGATAATCTATATTTCCTTCTAGAAGCTTTAGAATTTTACCTTTCATGTTTGAGATATTTTTATCTCATCTTGAAATATTTTTGTGTATATTTGATGTGAGGTAGAGGGTCAAGATTTGTTGATTTGTCCATAAGGCTCTCTAGTTTCTCTATCTCCATTAGTTGAAAAAATTTTTATTTCCCCATAGAGTAATCATGGCTCCTTTGTGAAACATGTGAATATATGTCTGGACTATATTATAACAGTACTGCACTGTCTTGCTTGTTGTTGTTTTTATGTGCAACTGAGTCAGAACCCACCCACAGCCAACCCTCCATGAGGTTTTAGAGTCAGTAAATTACATAGGAGGAGAGTGGCCATCCTTCTTCCACAGAATAGTTGGTGGATTTGGAGTTACAGCACAGCTTCTTATCACTGTTGTTGTTGAGTACAGTAGAGTTGGAACCGACCCATAGCTGACCCTCTGGTGGGTTTTCAGAGGTTAATCACATGGGAGGAGACTGCCCATTCTTCTTTTGCAGAGTAGCTAGTAGCCTTGACCCCTGTGCCTTTGGAATTGC